AAATTTATTAATTATATTTGAAGGGTTAGGAATAAAATCTTATCATAAATTATTAATTATATTTTACATAATCTATAACATATTTCGTAGTCTATTTTTATTTCAATTGTACTCTTTTGTTTTGTATTTTAAAATTCAATTTTTTTTATTAATTATTATATGATAATTTGCACAACTATTTCATTTAATTTTTTTATATAAAATTTAAATTAAAAAAATAAACACACAAAAAAGATATATTTATATTTTTAAATATCTAAACATTACAAAAATGGACAGATGGACACTTCTAGATGCTAGTAGGTTATAATTTTAAAATTATTAATTATAAAATGAATTAGTTAACTTAATTAACAATCTACATTTTAGTGTAAATATTACTGTAATCATTAGGATAGGGAATAGTTTTATTTAGAGTTTAGAGGAAAAAATGAAAGCTTTAGATTAATCAAATATTTCTATTGAATACAAAAACTTTAATTTGAAGATGTGCCTTGGAAAATACATTTTTAAAATAGTAATTAAGTGTTAAATGTGTATTGGAATATACATTTTTAATCGTGTTAATATATTACTAGGCAATTATTTAGAAACGGCTATGCAAGATCATTTTTATATCAAAAAATCAAGTAATAATAAATAACAATTATATAATACAACGCATCTTGAGGAGAATTTTAAAATTAAATATTTTAAATATAACAAAAATATTTTTCCAAAATTTATATATTTTAGACGTTTCAAGGTGTAAAACCATTGAATTATTATAATCAATTTCATTTATTAATTTTATTTTAATTGATAGTAAAATTAACTCATCTATACACTCTTTTTATTTATATCCCTAATATTTAGCACTTCTGATCATAACAAATCTTATATCTTTTAAGAATTTATCCAATTAAAAACACCAATTTTAAATATACTATCTAACAGGAAGATCCGAAAAACTTGGTAAAGCCGTTAAAACTTAAAAAAAAAAAAAAAACTAATCTTAACATGATCCTAATTGATTTGTTTTCATTTTGTAAAAAAATTATTAAAAAAACAAAAACTAAAACGTCTAAATCAAACCAAATTAATGAAATATAATAAATTATATTTTTTTAATTTATAATTTTTTTTATAAACAAATAGATTAAAAGAGGCACATGGGTGTCCAACCCAATTATAAACACTAATAAAAAAAAGGTTTCCATTTTTCAAAAGGAAACCGAAAGACACTCTCAAAAGGGATCAAAACTTAAGCCAGCATCGACTTGGCGCATCAATCCAACCAAGACAAAGCGCAACCACGAACTTGATCCACCAATAGCCAATCCCATAAAAAACGCTTGATTGACCCCAAACCATCGAAATTAACCAAAATACCTCCCCAAAAAAGGATTGAATTTCTACACTCTCAAATTGTCCTACAAATTGTCAAACCAAAGATCCATCCAAAGTCCAATTTACGGTTCACTTTGTCCGCCTTCTCAATTGCCTCAAATCAGTCGAGTAACGACAACTCAGTCAAAACGGGATTAAATTGGAACCACTCAATGGCTTGCCTCCACCAAACTAGAGAAACCGAGAAAAAACGAACACATGCTCAAAATCTTCAAGCACTCCTCCACAAAGTGGGCAAGACAAATCTGAATTATCAAATAAAACTCCCCTGCACAAAAGGTTCAGCCGAGTTGGAAGACGGTTTAACACGAACCTCCAATCGAAAACCGAAATTTTGCTAGGCAAACTCGTACACCACAAAATCCTAAGCACATCCAAAATAGTCCTAGCGATATGATTCTTGTCATAGCAACAAGCAGAGATTGTAACATAACAAACCGAGACCGAGAAACCATCTACATTCCTCCTCCATGTGATTTGGTCCTGTTGTTAATTGTCTAAGACAACTGGTTGAAACAGAGCTTGCAGGACGGCTAGTTCAGCCACTGCCTCCTGCTGCAACGGTCCTGCAAGCAGAGCCAACTCCCACGTCCAACTTTCTGACAACCAATGGCCGTTATGAACAATGCATGATCTAAACTGACTTGCCATCAAGTAAATGACACCAAACCTACTATGAAAATAAACCTCACCCTGCCACTTACTTTCCCAGAACTCAAAAGAATTACCATTCCCAACTTTGCAGGCTAAGAATTAAAAAACCAGTTAGGCTTATCCACCCTTTTGCCAACCGAAATAAGATCTTTCCACTATATCGAGGTACTTTTACCGAACGAGGGAATATGCTCGGCTTCCTGAACATCCCGAAGAAAGGATCTTTGGATTATAATGATTTTGTTAATGACCGCTTTCGGGGCTTTGTAGAAAGAAAAGAAAAAAATTGGGATAGACGAAAGGACGGAGTTAATAAGCACTACTTTCCCTCCGATGAAAAGATTACTACTATTCCAAATAGAAACCCTCCTTCTCATCTTCGATAAAATCGGACCCCAAACCTCAATCCTCCTAGGATTTGTAACACCCCAAGTTTATTGGAATATTTATTTAATTTATTTAAATTTGAATATTCGTATTTTTGGTGATTTTCGGTGGTTAGTGTGAATATTGAGAATTATGAATTTTGGGTTATTTATTAAATAATAGTATATAGTACGAACATATTTGTATTATTATTAGTTTAAATAAATATAAGTGAATTAAGGGCAAAATGGACATTTGAGGAGGAGTTAGTGAGGGTGAAATTGGAAAACCCATTTTAAGGCCCAAAGTTAGGTTTAACAAAAAAGAATTTTGAGGGAATTAGGATTCATTCTTGTTAAACCATGAAAAGAGAAGAAATAGAGGCCAGAGCTCTGAGGGAAGAGGATTGAGGCAAAGCTTCGCGAGGTTTCCAAGAATCAAAGAAGAAAAGTTTAGAGTCGGCAAATTAAGGTATGGGGAGTATTACCTTCATTGTTTTCAATATATGATTCAATAGATTTAAAGTTGATTTAAGGATTTAGGAGGTTTTTGAGTTTGAGGAAAATTAGGCCTTCATGGCCAAATCTATTTTTGAGGTTGTTTAAGTATGGGGAGTGTCGCACCCTAATTTTTGACCTTAAGATTCCACCTCCCTTTTTTTAATCTTATACGTTATCTTTATTCTTTTATGTGTTTATTACCACTAATCAATCTGTGCAGGTGCGATATTTTCATGTATAGATTCTTATGATCATGCATCGCAGGGACAAGACACAAATCACGGCGATTAAGGCTTTTTGCGCCGACAAGTATTTGTTGCTATGAACGAGAGATAGAATTCGAGGCGACGTCCGGGGTTTGGTCTGTACTATTTGGAGCTCAGTCGATGAAGTTCATTTGGATAAAATTGAATTTACGTACTTGACAAAGTTCAAGTCAAAAGTCAAAGTCAAGTTACTATGTGACCCACGTAATGATGTCTGTGAAGATTCAGATTTGGAAGTTTATAAACTTAAGTTATAGTCCTCACGAAAGCTCAAGTCAACACTCCAAAGTTAAGGAAAACTCATTTTGAACATTGTCCCAATCTTTTATTAGTTGGGGATCACTTTGAAGTTGCCATACCATTAATCCACTCTCGGATGACATACCTTTTATAATAAAAAGTCTCAAACATCAAGGGCATTATCCGCCAAACTTAAGACACCATACCTGAACAGATTTACGGAATGCAATTTAATGTTTGACAATTCAAAACATTTGTATTAAGCCAATAGGGATTGCAAAGGCATTGTCTACTTTACAATATTGAGCAACTCAGTATTTTGTACATAACAAGGTCATTACGGAAAAATCCAAACAATTAAGAGTGGTTTCAAACTTCAAGATTCTGTTACAATTAAGCAAGTAACCATTCTTCTCAATCCTAAGTTTTCCCTGTTTGTAAAGCTATCTGACATGAAATCCTAAGTACAGTGAGAAATTATCCAAACTACAATCATGGACTTCTGCAGCTCAGATCCCATAATTCAACACTCTTCAAAGGTCTTAAAGATTGCAAGACTTCATTAGATGACTCACGTGGAAACGTCGGCCTCGACTTCAGGCATCTCCAATCATTCATTAGTGAAGGGTGCTAGTTGGTAAGTCTTCGCCCGAATTAGCTCGTGGTGCCGAAAGGTTAGGTATGCAGCTATATTATGTCAGAAGCACCGTCAAAACCACTGGGCAGTAGTGTACATCGACCGTTGCTACAGGTCTGGACCTTTATGTTGATATTACCTAAAGAACATGAAGAAAACATGGTGAGCATTTAGTACAAACACAGAAAGTTAGCAGCAACGTTCGTGATCATGAGAAACTTTTGTTTATCCATATCAATTCGCAAGAAAGGAGGTTGGCATTACCTTATAAGTACCCTCTGTTTCTAAAATACTAGAGCCTTAAGCTCGTCAAATTCAGTGCAAGGTATGGTTGAGCTTCTGGTCTGAGTTTCATCACAACTCACTTTATGAAATCCTAGTTGAACCAACCAAGCATAAACCAAGGCGGAAACTATGCTCTGTAGCTTCCCCTGTAATATCTTCACCTGCAAAATACGGAACAACCAATAATCACAACACGCCACCATTAATAGTTAATGAGAATAATTTGAAGTTAAAAATCTAAAAAGAGATGAAGTGAGATAGTCTCAGTCCTCAGCTTTGAACCATCATCGGGTGGAGATTCGAGAAGCCAGAAGGACAAGGCAACCTTCAGATAGCCGTCAGCATGAACGTCATGAGACACCAATGATATTCAAAGGCAGCAGCAATTTCTAGCTCTGCTGGTTCAGACTTTAACACCAGATACGAATGCATCTCTCGACAACATAAGATAACCGAAAACAACTGCGCATCAGTGCAGCTGCAATAATCTACGACAATGAAGATGGCGGCATCCTAGTTGCAATGGCAGGAAATGCTGCTGGCATAAGAATACATGCGGTATTTATATCAAAAGCTTTTGGTGAAATACTAAATAAATAAGCTGGTTTGACAAATGTGGAAACATGTCTCATTCCAACTTTTGAAAACTCAACACGGTCTTTTATGGCGATTTCATTTAGTTCCCTGCTAGTTATGTCTGCAGTGCTGGCTACTTGTTTCTTCGTCCGCAGGCATCGCATAAGAAGAGAAAGGCCTCGAGCTTCTTCTCATGTTCATGAGTTTCATGGTATGAGTAGTCGCCTAGTGAAAGCAATGCCAAGTTTGATCTTCACTTCTGCTTTGGAAGATAACTGTACATCAAGAACATGTGCTATCTGCCTTGAAGACTATTGCCCCGGAGAGAAACTCAGGATTCTGCCCTGTTGTCACAAGTTTCATGCTGTCTGTGTGGATTCTTGGCTTACTTCATGGAGAACGTTTTACCCAGTTTGCAAATGAGAAGCTTTTCCCTAGGTGACTGGTCATAAATTGAATCCTAGAAAGACGATCTCGAGGTAATTACCAACTGTCACAAGAAGAAATAAAACAGCGTTAGTACCAGCAGCATACAAGCGCAGCCATTCCAAATCGTGATAATGAAAACATTGAGTCATATCAGATATAACTCATAACAATTTCTTTAAACACAGTCAGGCAAGTATTAAAGCAACCACATAACTTCAGAAGGAGAACATGGTGATAACAGAAGCCGGACATACGCCTCTAAATACGCTGAAGCCTGTCGAGATAGAACGCAATGCATTACCTGCTGGATAATTGTGACATTTGTTAAATTCATGACTCGCAAGTTCAAACATAGAGAATACAACAGGTCTTTAACCAAACTGAATCATATGCGTACCCTGCGACAGAAGTAGAACCTCCTCCCTATCACAACTACGTTTCGTCACTTGCAAGTCAAAAACGACAAGTTGATTCCCTGCAGAACATCAAAAGAAATTAAGCGCTACTAACTGTAAGTGAAACAAGGTTTCACGAAGGTACCTGCTGCAAAATTTTGAGTCCATTTTGAGGCTACCGGTTCGTTGTTTCCATCCATCTCGTTTGAAGCTGAAATGGAACACCGCAGTTAAACAAACCAACAAAGCATTGCAATTCGAGGTGAAACCCCTGGGAAAATGAATAAGTTTCTTCCAGCTTCTGCTCCAACTGATGAAGTGTTACTGCCATCGGTTTCTAGAAAGCAAGGCTACGGTTTTGTTCCTGACATTTAAGGCATTTCACATTAGACTTGTTAGTACATATTAAGCAATTCATGAGTATCTTAGACCAAGAAAGGAAAACATTTCAAAGAAGTTAATTTGAATCAAGGATATTCCAAAGCAAGTGAGAAAATGTTTCTTTAAGAATGGAAAGTAGTTTACCACATTGTCTACGAGATCAGACATATCAAACGAGGATGGAAAGTATAATAAATCCTACACCAAGAGTGGAATCAGAAAAGGAAAAGATCAAAGACATAAAGAGATATGCTCAAACAGAATTAGAGGTATCAGCGGCGTATCCCTTAAATCACAGCCTGTTCGAAAAAGAATCACAACATTGATTTTGAAATTGAAATTTAACTTCCAAGAGGCTATAAAAAGGAGACTCAGAAAGCAAAGTAGAGAGGTCGAAAAACCCCAAACACACAATAATTCGCAGAATCCACAACTTTCACAGAAGAAAATCCCAGAGTCGTAAAAAACCTAAAATTGCAAAAAAAAAAAACAAGGAACTTATCTTGTTTTGGGACTTCAACCGCCAATCCCCCACGCTGCGAAAGGTCCGATTGTTGAACCCTGCGAAAACCATCACAGAGTAAGGTTTTGTTACAATCGTTAATATTGCTTGATCTTTGTTTGTTTGTGTTTTCAGTTCGAACGGAAAAGAGTGGCAGAAGGGACGAGACGGAGAGAAAGTGAACAAAAATCCGATGAAGAAAACCGGCAAAAGAAATGGCGATAAGAAGAGTAGTGAACGGAGGGAGAAGACGAGGATCACCGGCGCAATGGGGGAATCGATTTGGGGGATTTAGGGTTTTTCTTTTGTTTTTTTCATTTTCTGATGTTGTAATCGTATGTAAGCACACACACACTAACTCACATGCACTCACGCATCAGCACCACAAACTCCACCTACCACATGATCACACGCCCTAACCCGCGTCCGTACCGTGCACCTCCCAGACCTGCACCGCACTCAATCACTCGCCCAACTTAGCTCTTGATTAATCCATAATCTAATCATTAGACACCTAATCAATCTAATTAATTAATTATCAACCTTAACCATCTTTTATAAAAATATAACTAATAACCAATATTTAAAATCAGCTATTTATTAATTATTCCCTTTTTTTATTAATAATATAATTTATTTAAAACCTACTTTTCACATTTAACATAACTTTTATATAATAAAACAAAACTTTTACCTAATAAGAGTTTTTATTTTCAAATAATCTATAACTTAGCATTTATAAATAAATAAAGCTATTTAACTAATTTAATAGAAATCTATTTTATAATAACAAACTATTTTCTTAGTTAGTAAAACCTTTTTTAAATAAATTAATTAATAATGAGGTAATAATTTATTTCTTTTCTAAATAATACAAGGACAATATTTTTATATAATTTAAAATAATTCATTTAATAATATTAACTAAAAAACCTATTTCATAATCAATTTGTAATAATTAATAAAACTTCTTCTCACTTACTATAATTTATTTTATTGAGTAATAATTAACAAATCTTATATCTTTTAAGAATTTATCCAATTAAAAACACCAGTTTTAAATATACTATCTAACAGGAAGATCCGAAAAACTTGGTAAAGCCGTTAAAACTTTAAAAAAAAAAAAACTAATCTTAACGTGATCCTAATTGATTTGTTTTCATTTTGTAAAAAAATTATTAAAAAAAAACAAAAACAAAAACGTCTAAATCAAACCAAATTAATGAAATATAATAAATTATATTTTTTTAATTTATAATTTTTTTTATAAACAAATAGATTAAAAGAGGCACATGGGTGTCCAACCCAATTATAAACACTAATAAAAAAAAGGTTTCCATTTTCCAAAAGGAAACCGAAAGACACTCTCAAAAGGGATCAAAACTTAAACCAGCATCGACTTGGTGCATCAATCCAACCAAGACAAAGCGCAACCACGAACTTGATCCACCAATAGCCAATCCCATAAAAAACGCATGATTGACCCCAAACCATCGAAATTAACCAAAATATCTCCCCAAAAAAGGACTGAATTTCTACACTCTCAAATTGTCCTACAAATTGTCAAACCAAAGATCCATCCAAAGTCCAATTTATGGTTCACTTTGTCCGCCTTCCCAATTGCCTCAAATCAGTCGAGTAACGACAACTCAGTCAAAACGGGATTAAATTGGAACCGCGCAATGGCTTGCCTCCACCAAACTAGAGAAACCGAGAAAAAACGAACACATGCTCAAAATCTTCAAGCACTCCTCCACAAAGTGGGCAAGACAGATCTGAATTATCAAATAAAACTCCCCTGCATAAAAGGTTCAGCCGAGTTGGAAGACGGTTTAACACGAACCTCCAATCGAAAACTGAAATTTTGCTAGGCAAACTCGTACACCACAAAATCCTAAGCACATCCAAAATAGTCCTAGCGATATGATTCTTGTTATAGCAACAAGTAGAGATTGTAGCATAACAAACCGAGACCGAGAAACCATCTACATTCCTCCTCCATGTGATTTGGTCATGTTGTTGATTGTCTAAGACAACTGGTTGAAACAGAGCTTGCAGGACGGCTAGTTCAGCCACTGCCTCCTGCTGCAACGGTTCTGCAAGCAGAGCCAACTCCCACGTCCAACTTTCTGACAACCAATGGCCGTTATGAGCAATGCATGATCTAAACTGACTTGCCATCAAGTAAATGACACCAAACCTACTATGAAAATAAACCTCACCCTGCCACTTACTTTCCCAGAACTCAAAAGAATTACCATTCCCAACTTTGCAGGCTAAGAATTAAAAAACCAGTTAGGCTTATCCACCCTTTTGCCAACCGAAAGAAGATCTTTCCACTATATCGAGGTACTTTTATTGAACGAGGGAATGTGCTCGGCTTCCCGAACATCCCGAAGAAAGGATCTTTGGATTATAATGATTTTGTTAATGACCGCTTTCGGGGCTTTGTAGAAAGAAAAGAAAAAAATTGGGATAGACGAAAGGACGGAGTTAATAAGCACTACTTTCCCTCCGATGAAAAGATTACTACTATTCCAAATAGAAACCCTCCTTGTCATCTTTGATCAAATCGGACCCCAAACCTCAATCCTCCTAGGATTTGTAACACCCCAAGTTTATTGGAATATTTATTTAATTTATTTAAATTTGAATATTCGTATTTTTGGTGATTTTCGGTGGTTGGTGTGAATATTGAGAATTATGAATTTTGGGTTATTTATTTAAATAATAGTATATAGTATGAACATATTTGTATTATTATTAATTTAAATAAATATAAGTGAATTAAGGGCAAAATGGACATTTGAGGAGGAGTTAGTGAGGGTGAAATTGGAAAACCCATTTTAAGGCCCAAAGTTAGGTTTAACAAAAAAGAATTTTGAGGGAATTAGGATTCATTCTTGTTAGACCATGAAAAGAGAAGAAATAGAGGCCAGAGCTCTGAGGGAAGAGGATTGAGGCAAAGCTTCGCGAGGTTTCCAAGAATCAAAGAAGAAAAGTTTAGAGTCGGCAAATTAAGGTATGAGGAGTATTACCTTCATTGTTTTCAATATATGATTCAATGGATTTAAAGTTGATTTAAGGATTTAGGAGGTTTTTGAGTTTGAGGAAAATTAAGCCTTCATGGCCAAATCTGTTTTTGAGGTTGTTTAAGTATGGGGAGTGTCACACCCTAATTTTTGACCTTAAGATTCCACCTCCTTTTTTTTTTAATCTTATACGTTATCTTAATTCTTTTATGCGTTTATTACCACTAATCAATCTGTGCAGCTGCGATATTTTCATGTATAGATTCTTATGATCAAGCATCGCAGGGACAAGACACAAATCATGGCGATTAAGGCTTTTTGCGCCGAAAAGTATTTGTTGCTATGAACGCGAGATAGAATTCGAGGCGACGTCCGAGTTTGGTCTGTACTATTTGGAGCTTAGTCGATGAAGTTCATTTGGATAAAATTGAATTTACGTACTTGACAAAGTTCAAGTCAAAAGTCAAAATCAAGTTACTATGTGACCCACGTAATGATGTCTGTGAAGATTCAGATTTGGAAGTTTATAAACTCAAGTTATAGTCCTCACGAAAGCTCAAGTCAACACTCCAAAGTTAAGGAAAACTCATTTTGAACATTGTCCCAATCTTTTATTAGTTGGGGATCACTTTGAAGTTGTCATACCATTAATCCACTCTCGGATGACGTACCTTTTATAATAAA